GGGGGGGGGGGGGGGGGGGGGGGGGAAGGGGGGGGGGGGGGGGGGGGGGGGGGGGGGAGGGGGGGGGGAGAGCAGGGAATGCAACATACAAGCAGATTAAAGTTCAGCTTTAAAGCTACATACGCCCGATGAAAGTTGTACTTTATGCTTCCCAAATATTCCACAAATGGGCAACTTGCAGTCTTTAGCTTTAATCTGCAAGTCCATGTGGTCCCTCAACTATTAAGAAGTGGTGGGATATTTAGTGAGGCTCGAGAACCATGGATGACTTTACTCAGCACCATCAAAATCGGCCCCTATCCAGTAACACTTACCTGCCCGGAACTTCCCAGAGCCGCTGCAAAATGTGCCAACATCCTCTGCAGTTCTGTTGGGCAAACTTGAAGCCAGAGAAAGCAAAAGGGAATGCGGCAAATGTGCAGCAAAAAATATCCCGCAGATCCGCTGTCCAAATAAATCCTCATTCCATCCAATACACAGATAACCATTGGCGGGGTGACCGCAAACTGGCTAATTCCATCCTATGTGAGCGCCTGCAGGACCTTCATAATTAAATGGCAACCCAACCAAAAAGTGGCAAAACAGAACAATGTGATCATTTGGACCCCTTCATTAGCAGACCTCTAATGGCATTATCCCAACCAGGAAAAGATCATAAGAACTGTGCTGGTATTATATCAAATCTCTATAAAACACAACAACATGCAACAATATCCTCAGACCAAATGAAGAGATATCTGCCCGCTGCAGATAAAAAAACACAACCTTCTAGAATTACCTTCACGGGGCAAATATTTAACCAAATCACCACTGACACTTATCTCCAGTGAAAAGGAAATAAAACAATTAACCCCAAACAGGCTGCAGAACGCATTTCTACACACCGCTGGAAACATACACCGGATTCTCAAGATCCTCATGGTGTGGCAAACATTCAATATTAAGGTGACATGGGAATGCCCTCCAAGCAAACCCACTGACAGTCAAAGAATAGTCTAAATCAATGGCATGGAATCTGCATTCTCGGAATATCACAACAGGTTTAGTTGTATGAGTCAATGACAAAGTAATACAATGTAAAGAACATCTGACAAGTGATTACATAGTATAGTACATGTATAGCATAGTATAGCATAGCATTGGTATAGTACAGGTACAACTGGAATGGATGTGCTGGATTCAACTCATCATAAGATAATATGAAACGCGTTGGCTGTTTTATGTTGAGAATTGTCATTAAAAAATTTTGGATTGTTACTACTTTAGTCTGGTGCTCACATTGGACTTATTTTTATATAAGTAGTGTAGGGCAGTTTTTCTCACACAGCACCATCCTTAAGTCCCATCAACAGTGCACTTTTTTTGGGGAGATCTACAAAGACGCCTATATCACTTTGCTGAAACAATTATTGAAGTAGATATAAACCCAATCTACTAAAATCTGCGGCTTCCATTAAAATATTCCCCGGTGATCCTTCCATGGTCAGACACTTTCTTCCCATTGGACTACAATCTCACATTTAGTTTACCAACTTGTATTGAAATTGTAGTCCATCCCAGGAGTGAGCTTGGATCGGTGACTACTTTACAACACACACAGGGACCATGGGGAACAAAAGTAGCCCCCCATCCAGAAGGAAGGACAGTGTCAGCCCCAATTCAGAGATGATTGGAGGATCTACAGCCGAGTGATACACAAATAAGAGACATTGTTGTTCATAGTTCAGGGACTTGAATGGTTTTTAAGGTTTATCTCCGGAGTTTTGTGTCACATTAAGCATCAGTTTAGCAAGCAGCATGTGTATTTAAAGCGCGGGATATGTAATGAACACCGGCACCAGATAACTAGTAGAAAGCAATCTGTATGACAGAAGGGATGGGCCCAACAGCTTGCACTCCGAGCAGCATGTAATGCTGGCCATATACAGGTAGATTTTCATATGGACATTGATTAAAAAAAAATCTGATCAGAACATTCGATAATGCCCTCAGAGACTTGATGGATGTGGTTCCAAATTTCATTTAAAAAAAGGAGAACTATGAGGGGGAGTGCTTTTCTCTCACCTCATAGTTCTAGCCGACCTGTGACAATGAGACTGTCACAGGTCGGCTCAGTAGATCGGGAGGTGAGCGAACACATACCGGTATTCGCTCACTTCTCAATCCTGTCACAGCTCTCTGCCGTGACAGGGGAGGGGCTGGATTCCCCCCTCCCCGCTCCGATCCTCCAGCGCTGACTGTCGGAACGGACGGGGGAGGGGGCGGGTACAGCTGGCCCTGCCTATAGATATGCAGAGCCAGCTGTCACTCACGCTGCTGGGCGGATCCAGACAGAATTGTCGGGATCCGCTTCAGCGTGTCAGCATACCGCGAGCTGTAGCTCCCTATATACTGAGCTTAGGGTGACGGGAGGACGCTAGTTTGTGTCCTCCCGTTACCCTACAGAGAACTATGGGGAAAAGCCCTGACCCCATAGTTCTCCTTTAACATTCAATTTTGGAAGTGAATAGATTCCCAAATGAAAACCACATTCACCGCCTCAGTCAAGAAAAAAAGTCTCTGTACCGCTCTTTTGATTTATTTGTGTCACAAGGGTCCAAAATGAATTGTCAATTTGATCACATTAACTTTTAGAAAACACATTTTTGGAACCAAATTCTACTAGTGCACGGCCAGCTTTAGCAAGCAGAGGTGTATCGTGAGCACAGGTCGGCCAAGGACCAATGGCAGCTTTAAGACTTGTACAAATTTTCAGCAGTGGGACAAACATGAGCAAAGGAAGAGCTAGTGACCTATACCAACAAACAATGAGAGTGGCAAAGGGCAGATCTGGGCGACAGAAGGGACATCCCAAAGCTTGTACTTCAAAAGCATTCAGGAAGAATAGGGGGCACCAACATCAAGTGTCTACAGCAGGGGTAGCCAAACTCCGGCCCTCCAGCTGTGGTGGAACTACAAATCCCATGAGGCATTGCAAGATTCTCACAGCCACAGACATGACTCCTGGAAAGAGATGCTTCATGGGATTTGTAGTTTCCCCACAGCTGGAGGGCCGGAGTTTGGCTACCCCTGGTCTACAGTATTAGGGTGTCCACCACAAATACAGGACAACCCACAATGCCAGCTGCAAATTAAGCTGCCCCAGGAGCTTACACTCTAGGCACATTCCATAACACATACAGTGGATGGCCACACATCACATAAGGAGAAATTAGCAAAGGGCAGACCTGGGTAATGGAAAAGCTGGCCGTAGGAGCTTGCAATCTACATGAAAATAGTAGGACCACTGTCAGAGTAAAATTAGACAGTGGAAGAAGCCTGATAAGCACCGGACAGCCATAAAGCAGCACAGAGCAGGACCCATATTGTGGGATATCATATGGGTGAATTTAGGAGTTCCAGGAGTCCCTGTCAGTAAAGATTTCAGCAGAACACAGAGAAAGCAGCACAGGGCAGAGGCGTTTGCACTCAGGAAATCCTATCACCCGGCTGATAACGGTAGAACACACATACAGTACAATTGATATTTAATAGAGAAAGCAGCAAAACAAAGACCTTGGTGATAGAGGGTTGACCCCAGGAGCTGGCACTCTAAGCAAATATAGTAGGGTCACTGGCAGAGAGCATTTCAGACAGCAGATGGTGACTGATTAGTGCAGAACAGCCAGTGACTCTTACCAGCAGCACAGCAGATGGGTTATCCACAGAAGCTTTCAGGTGAACCAGGGTGGCGCCTATCTGAGAAAAAAAGGAGGAGGGGTATCCTTAGCACAGGGCAGCCAGTGACGCCTGCCAGGCATACAGGACACAGCACATAGCTGGCCCAAGTGACTGGGTTGTAGCCAGGGGCCTCTATTAGTAAGGATTTATGCATGGGGTCTATTAGGAATATAAGGGTAGCAGCCAAGAGCAGCTATACCATGAAGCTTGCACTATACACCGACCACTTTACTTTAGTAGCGGACCCAGAGAACCCTACAGCAATCCACCCAGCACATAAGGGGGAGGGGGAAAGATCATGGACCCAGGGCAACCAGTGACTCATGGCAGCATCAGCACAGAGCAGACACTGGTGACAGGACTAAGGGTGCATTAAAAGCAGAAGGCAGCTATCCCCCGAAGCTTACACTTTATGTGCATTTAGAGAATCTATGGAATCCAAAACAACAAGCATCTCAGGCAGGTGAGGGTGGATCCCACAAATAGGACAGTCATCGACTCCTACCAGCAGCACAGCAGGAGGGCTATCCCTAGAAACATTAAGGAAGATCAGGGATACCTCCCTCTGCTGTGCTCCTAGCAAAAGTCACTGGCCGCGCAAAAGTAACTGGGGGAGGGGGGGATCTGTCAGGAACAGAGAAAAAGTAGCACAGATCTGATGACAGCTAACCCCAGGAACCAGGGGAGCCCTATCAGTGAACACAGGGGTTATGCACAGCACGGGGCTACCAGTGACTGCAGCACAGAGCAGCCATGGGTGACAGAACTACCTAGGCCTATGAGGAACACAGAGCAGAAAAGAAGGCAGCTAACCCCAAGAGCTTGCACTCCACATGCATTCAGGAGACCCGGGGGTCCTATGGTCAGCCCCTCCAGGATGGCAGTGACCAGGTGGCCCCAGTTAGTGAAAAGGAAGGCTATCCTTAGCACAGCAGCAGGTTCTTTCCCCCAGAAGCCTTGAAAAGTAGCACAGGACAGAAATCAGCTAACCCGAAGAGCTTGCACTCTACAGACATCTAGAGGATCAGGAGAGCCCTACAGCAAGCCATGCAACAAATGAGGCTGGACCATGATCCCAGGTCAGCAGCACAGGGTGACACAAGGGATAACCCCAAAAGCTTGCACTCTAGATGCATTCAGAGGACTGGGGGAGCTATAGTCACCCCTCCAGACAGCAAATTATATACCTCTAATATAATGACTGAGAATAGAAGACTATCCCTAGAAGCTAGCACTCTACTGACCGGAACCTCCCACCCGTGCACAAGCCAATCACTCACCCGTCAGCTGCACACACCGAGATCACACAAACAGCCGCGTCCGTGACCTACTTTCTACCCTCACTAAATGTCGCACCACTAACCTACTTTTCAGCCAATGACGTGCGCCGGCTCCACGGCTGCCTCTGCCAACCAATAGGCGAACCCCCCCCAGACAGCCAGGCAAACTGGTGGCGTGGTAGGGAAAGCTCACAGCCGCCATATTTCTGGTGGCAAAGTCTAATTTCTAAAGGGGTCCGCACAACCGCAAGCAGTGCCTATGATGTGAATATGCAGTCCATGGATTTCAGTGTTCAACCAATGCACAGAAACAATTATTCTGTATCTGCTCGTGAGATTTGGGTGTAAATACCAGTTTCTGGCCATTCTGAGCAACTTGTTACAAATAATTCCCACCATTCCTTATATGTGACAACATGGAGTGGGCTGACACATACATGCATCGCTGTTTTGTATCGGGAGCACGCTCAATTGCGCTCCCTTGCAATGTGACAACGTTGTCAGCGACAGCTACCAGTCATAAGGTGCCCATACACTGCACGATTCTCGTACGAGAATGGCGGGAAATCCCACGATCGTACGAGAATCGTGCAGTGTATGGAAGGCGTGCGACCGTTTCTACTGTACGGTTGCACGTCTTCTGTCGAACCAGCATGCTAGAAAACGATTCTCGGCGAGTTAGTGGCCTGCTAGTTCGACAACTGCTGAACGGGCCGGTGTGCGCACACTGACCGTTTGCAGTCATCGTAAGCCCGCCCCTCAGGGGGGCGGGCTTGCGATGATCGCAAGTACGATCTGCCTGTCCAAGTACTTTACAACCCTCATAAGACAAAAGTCTTGCGAGGGTTGTAAAGTGTATGGGCACTTATAGACTGACCATTGCGTTCTGAATGGTCTGCTCTGGATCATGTGACTGCTGCCAATCACAGGGATCACATGATGTGCTCAATTGTCACTGGGCCTTACTATGAGTACAAACTTATGTGGTGCCACCCTGTAAGTCAGGAGTAGGAGAATATTTTTTGGTTGTCTTTGGTGGTTGGTCGTGGTACTGGCAAGAAATAGGCAGCTAAAGTTTATAAAATATAAATTTTTTACTATTTTGGGCCAGTTTTCCTATGATAAGGAAAAAAAAATCAGGAGATATCCATTCACATTTACAAACAAATGAAGGTCCAATTCATGCTGAACAATACAAGGTATAACCCACCCGGATACACCGAGTACTTACAATGATGTGTACAGATTTACTAACACATGGTAAAAGTTTGGAGGTTGGGTCCGGCCCATAACCCCTTAAGGACCTGAGGCCTTTTAAAAAAAAAATAGTTTACATGTTATAATCCACATTTTAGGCCTGAAAATTACTTCAAACCCCCAAATATGATATATTTCCTGAAAGCCGAGACCGTGTAGAATAAAATGGCGGCAGTTGCAAATTTGTATGTTGCACAATATTAGCGCAACTTATCAAATCCAAAGATTTAGTGATAAATGCACTTGTTAAATTCAGTGCCCCAAAAGACAATAAAATACCTATTTTTAAAATAAAATATAAAAGATGAGTTTACAACGCGTAAATAGACACCCAACATTTTCAGATAAAAAATTGCGCGCGTCCGCGAAACTGCAACAGAATTCAGTACCCCAAAAAGTCCAGAGACGATGCTTTAAAAGCCAACACAGGTCATCAGTTTAGAGATACGCATAAATATTGGCCCTGGAATTATTGCTCTCACTCCGGGGTGCACGGTGATACCCAACATGTGTAGCGCGATCGCCGTTTTCATACGTAGGTGCACCGACGATGCGTGGGGGCGGGGGACTTTAAAACATTTTTTACTCCCATATATTCACCTGGGGCGCGCCTTAAATCTGACATACCCTACTTCATCTTCTCAATCCCCTTAAACTAACCCAGATGACACCCACGCTGAAAAAAATTTTAAAAAACATAGCGCACACATCGGGGCATTTTGACAAGTACAAGTACTTGTCAAAATGCCCTGTTTTTTCCGCCCTTACCCTGCAGCGCCGTAAGGCGGCCGCCTGACTTGCCTTGCGGTAGCGCCGGACCCGGAGGGTACCGGCCTGTAAGAAGCAACCTGGCAGCAGCTGAGTCACCAAAATCACTTCTATTGTAAAGCTGGCCCAAACCACGAATCATTTACATATGTAGTGAAGATAATGCCACAATGTGCCAGCATACCAACTCTCGATCATATACATGTATGTTCATGGTGTGGATGCTTAGTAACAACATTGGGACACATTAAACACATGAGCCTGGTGCACCACCATGTGGTGTACAGCAGAAACTACAAGTCATACGAGAAAAGCTGCCTTTACATTTCCATGTCTGCAGCACAATAATGTGCGTTTTGTTACAAATTAACCTGAGTTGCCTTAGGCTCCATTCACACATGAGTGGTTTTCCGCACGTATGTGGCCGTACGAATACATGTGGAACCGTGCCAAACATAAAAAGCAATGCAATGCAATGTGCATTGTTCAGACTATTGTTGCACCTGCACGGTACGAAACGCTGCGACCTGCAAAATAGTCCAAGCACGGTTTTATGGGCGGATTCCGCATGTTCCGGCTATAGCAATAGCCTGCAATGTGCGGAATCCGCGTGTATGTTAACGTTTGCGTGGTTTCGTTCCGCCTAGTTTTCTGCATGAAAAAATGTGTGGAAAACCCTAAGGCAGCCCGATAAAAATGAATGGTGTGCCAACGCACCCGAACATGCTTAAGATTCCACATGACTCATTTTTTGACATGTTATAAAACTCATCGATGTGATTGCCTTTTTTTTCCCTTTTATTCGATCCCACAGAGATAATGGAGAATCCTGGGGTGGCCTCACTGCAAGGGAAAGTTCTTTAAATTCCTGGATTTCTTCTTTAAACTTGACACTTCATTTAAAGCCTATTTCCAGTATAGAAAAAAAAAAAAACTACCTTTGCAACAAGGCCGTCCCTACAGTATTCATCACCTGAGGCGGCCGGGAAAAGGGGGGAGCAGTTGGTTAAGCCAAACAAGAGTCGGCAGCTGGCTGACGGGGGAGGGGGCGCGTACAGCTGGCTCTGCTTCTAGATAGGCAGAGCCAGCTGTCACTCACGCAGCTGGGCGGATCCAGACATAATTGTCGGGATCCGCTTCAGCTGCGGCGTCTCAGTTCGCGGTATACTGAGCTTAGGGTGACGGGAGGATGCTCGTTTGTGTCCTCCCGTTACCCTAAGGAGAACTATGGGGAAAAGCCCCAACCCCATAGTTCTCCTTTAACTGTATGTGCTCCAATGCATTATGGTATGTTGGAATGTGCTGAGGAAAAATGCAAAATGTCCTCTTTTTATTTCAGCATTCACCAACACAGCGCAAAGCAATTCAGTTCAATATAAGGCAGACTGACCTGTCTACGTGTTGGGCAACACTGACTAATGCAGCCTAATGGGGCTGGTGTGAACCACCCCTACAAGATCATTTTATAAGAACATTTTTGTAATTTAAAGAAAAAAAGCCCCCATCTCCTTGCACCCTAAAAACACAGCGCCTACCCAGGTTCTTCTTTACCTTCTCTGGGGGACGCTGGTCTCCCACATTGCCTACAAACAGGCCAAAGACAATTTAGTGCAGAGCTGATCAAGTATGCACAATAAACTTGAATGGGATGCTGCTTCTACAGTACGGGTATGTCCCAATCAATGAGTGTGTGGGCACGGGCAGCCCTGTAATTGGCTTTATGCCCAGTTGACACAGGCAGCCGCGGGATGGAAAAACAGGCGAATGATCTGCATTTTTTCATCCCCCCGACTGCCCACCTAAAACTTAATATAGTGGCCGCTCATGACTGTACACATGCTGTGCGTGTACAATTTTAAACAGCATGTTGTGACCATTGCAATCAATAGGACCGCACGTTACACCACAACCACATTGGCACAGTATTGCAATAGAAAGTCCCCATTGAGATCAATAGAAAGGCATTGAGGGGTTTTGCTTCCTGAACGCTGAGCAGCCACTGCTCTGACACCGTCTGAAAAGCGATTCATCCCTTTTTGGAAGGGCGTTGGAGCTAGGGTTGCCACCTTTTCTTCCAGTGAAACCCAAACACTCTAGCGACAGACGGAAAAAAATTTGGGAGAATGAGTTGCGGCTTATTCATATGGAAATAGCATCACCCATTCATATGTAAATATCAGAGTCAAGACTATTTTTAGTGGGAGGGCAGTAGCCCGTATCTTAATATTGGTTGCCCCTGTCTGCCTGACATCTTGTGTCCGGGTTTCAGCTGCCATGAAACCCGGACACAGCATTTAAAACCCGGACTGTCCAGGTAAATCATGGACAGGTGGCAACCCTAGTTGGAGCTTGCCACCCATCTGAAGGAGGCCTTACATATGCTGCTAACATAGAAGCTGATTGATCAGATTTGGGGGTTCAGATGATTGTGTCATGAACATGCTGAGCACTCACTTTCAGGCATCTATCTTGTCTCTCCCATCCTCTGGAACGCTTTACCCCAACCTGTCCCTCTATCTCACACCTTGGCTGCCTTTCGGCGATCACTAAAGACTCATCTCTTCAGGGAAGACTATCCCACCTCAACCTAACCACTCAATCATCACATTCTCAAATAATTCATCCCCACACAGCTACCTCCTCATGTATCACTGGCCCCTCCCTTTTAGATTGTAAGCCCTCAGGAGCAGGGCCCTCCTTACCATCTTGTCTTGAATTGTATTTTAATGCCTTCTGTATATTGTAAAGCTTTGCGCAAACTGTTGGCGCTATATAAATCCCAGAATAATAATAATAATCTATCGTTACAACGCCAAACAATGTGGGTTTTACTCCCTTGACCTGCTAGTTGGTTACACTTTGAAGGTACCTTCCAGTGACATCCAAAAATCAGCACCGCAATATGTACAAAGGCCTGCCTGTCAATGGCTGACTCGTATCCGCTGCATTGCATGAGAACATCACCAGGTCACCCTGCCATGCAAACCTATTTGTTCACATTCATTATGATTTAGTCACAGCCTTGATGCCAGCATTTTGCCTGATTGTCTCTGAGTACCATTCAGGTTTTCGTG